GACTCAATGGGCATGAGTTTGAGTAAACTCTGGGTGTTGGTGATGGACAGAGAGGCCTGGCATGCTACGATTCATGGGATCACAAAGAGTCGGACACGACTTAGCAACTGAACTGAACTGAACTGAACTGAACCACAGTACCAACATTATAATACTGATTCTTCACTCAGGAAATGTTGGTTCTGCTTATTAAATTCATTCTCAGCCTCAAGAATCTTATATACATTTACAAGTGAAAATATTCGGAGTGAAAGAAGGGCACTAAATGACACATATCAAGTGAGCAGCTTTGGTCAGGAAAGATACAAACCTTTAGGAGTCCAAGGCACTTCTTTATCTAAGGGTGGTAAAAGGGCTCATGGGAGAAGCGAGATTGAAATGGATGGGGCACTTAAGACAGAGATACAAATAGGCTCCCTGTGGTGGCCACTTCCTATTTGCCAAACACTGTGGGGAACCTTGTATGTTATCTCCATAAGCTACAAGTTAGATAACTTTAAATCTCCACTGCACTGATGAGAAGCTATTTTATTGATGACAGTTGAGACTCACAGAGATTTAGAAATTTTCCCAAGTCATCCAGCTCATGGCAGATCTAGGTTCAAAATCAGATTTGTCTGACCAAAGCACATGCCCCCAACCACTATGCCACTGGGGAAAAGGATTGGGAAGAGATGGATGAAGGGAGAGAGAAATCATTCCAGCATGAGGCAGGAAAGTACAGAGTCATGGAAAATATAAAGGTATAAAGGTAGGTTAATACCAAAGAGAAAGGAAAACTCAGGAGTTTGGACTTCAGACTGTGGGCAATGAAGAATCACTGTTTTGTTTCTGGTGTATGTGTGTGTTTTTAATTAAAAACCACACTACTGCTATTGTTACTAAGAGCATTTACTGAGCACCAACTAAGGGCAAGGCCCCACACTAAACTATTTGCAAATATTATTTCAAATAGTTACCTATTTGAAATTGACATTCTGCAATTTAGTTTTGTTAATTTCCTTCTTATAAAAAAAAAAATGAGGCCCTGAGAGGTCAAGTCACTCACCTAGATGCCTCTAGTAAATGGAGAGTGGATTCAAACCCACGTGGGTGTGAAATCAAAGTCAGTGCCCTTTCCCCTAATGTGGTACTGCAGAAAAACCTCCCTTGCAACAGAGAGCCAGGAAAGAAGAGAAATGAAAATGAAGACAGGGGACCAGTCAGACACAAAATAGGGTCCCAGAATAAGGGAGAAATGTCTCCACTGGAGTCACCATGAAAATGATCAGGAGGAGACAGACAGCAAATGTGTGCATGACCTTTTCTTTCATTTGCTCCAGTTCTGTGTCATGGTCTGCTACCTGCAGCAGAAACCAAGTTAGTAATTATTCCTGCCTTGATTACTGTCCTTGCCTTCAAGCCCCGATTTGAGTGCTTCTGTTGCTTTAAGCATCTTCCTGTCCCATCACAATGCTATCAGAGGTAAAATATGGCATCATCCGCTAATCTGTTATCTGTATTGAAGGGTAATCATTCAAGAGAATAAAATTAAGCCTCCACATCCAATAAATCATATTATGCTTCACATATCAACATTTTTAAAAATCTGACTTAAACACATAGTCTTTCAAATCAGGAGGACACATATGCTGAGCTCTAATGAGCTCTGCCAAATCCTACATTATTATTAAAGTTCATCGTGATCTCAGAGATGATACAGTTTTCTAAAATGGAGTATGGTATCAATATTTGTTTGGCTGCTTTCTAGTTAGGATTCTAGGGAAAGTAGCACAATAAATAACGCAGTAGAAAATGTATGCATTATGAATATATCATTCAAACAAATGCAAAATCTATGTGGATGATTACTTAGAGAGTCCATCTCATTTGATGGAATCAAGGGTTAGAAGTTTTAATATTCATGTCATGATTCCAAAACACCCCAAACATTTTTGCACTAAAATCTTAGCTTTAGTCCTCCTCATTCAATGACAAATGTTAATATTTTAAATAGAAAATCAGTAGTATAACCAGCTCTGCAGAAATGAGTTGAAATTCATAAAGATAAAAAAATACATATTTCTTCTCCATATGTATAATTAATACACTAATATTCCTAACATTTTACAGTATTAATTTCAAACATCTAATATGTTTCTGAGAATAAAATTATGAAGGAAATGGCACTTAAGAGTTCCATATACTAAGGATGAAAACAAATATGGTTTATATACTTCCCTGGATAAAGATATTTACATACATAAGATAAAGCAAAATAACAAAATAAATATTCCATTTTATCTAATTTTACAGCTCCCATTTGTGTTTTTTAATCTATTTGGCTTAATTTCATTCCTATGTGCAAACACATAGATGGATATTAAAGAACTCTGCTATCCTACACATACTCAGATCCAACCAAATAACATGGAAAATTAAGTCCTTTTTTCGCAGGCAGTCTTGCTACTATGTCACTATTCAGCATAAAGATATAACTGCCTTAATAAACAGAAACTAAGTCATTGGGGGTTTTGTGTTTTCAATAATTGAAGCTCCCTGCAAATACAGTTAGACAAATAAATTCATTCACCTTTTCTTCAAATCTGAGTGTTTCAACTAAGTCAGATATCACAACAACCCCACTAGTCCAACAGTCTGTCGTAACAGTGGTTTACTGCAACTCCACCCTTCTCCCACCTTCAGTTTCAACAGTACATCTATTGTTTTTTCCTGTTAGAGGAAAAAAATTAAGATGAAGAGTTCAAATTCTCAAAGTAGTTCAGTGAACTGTCACCTTACTATTATTTAACCGCGGGGAATTTCCTGTTTAATTGCCACTCTCTCCCATCCCCAAAGGACTACATCTTATTTTGATGGTGTAATGGAAAGCACTGTGTTAAAAAAAGGGCAAAAACATAATGGGTTTTAATTTTTAAACGTCTAACCTTTTCATGAGTCACTGTTAATCATTTGCACCTGTGACTTTAATAATCAGCTTGGAATTACAGAAGCAGAATCTCCAGGACAGAACTAGGTAAGAACTCCCCAATCACAACCATTATCACAGCAGGGAGACAAGAAAGCTCTTCTGTCAAATGTGACATGAAGAAAGTTTTAAAAGTCAGTTCCCCCAAATCTCAAGAACAGCAGAGCTCCTAGTACTTAAAATCTTCATCTTTTAAAAGTCAACATTTTTAATATATATATATTTCACTATATTTTAATATTACTTTCTGTAACATATTCTTTCAACTTTAGGGCTTGAGGAGGAAAAGGGATCCAGAAAAATCACAACAGTACAAAGAGGGGTGGGGGGAAGCAAATCTTCTAAAAAGCAACCTTCCCATGGAGAAATTAAGGCCACTAACATTATGCCATTGAACCATTTATTTCATTATGAAATGAGACATACAAGTGGCAATATTCTGAAATGTGATGGAGGTTGTTCTACATCAGTGAACACACAAGTCTGGAAGGTATAAATATGGTCTCTGTCAGCTGTAGTCCATCCTCAGCAAGTCATTTTCCCTGTGGGCTGAGGCTCCCATATCGTGGAAACCTTCCCCAACTGCCAAGGGCTGAAAAGGAATTCCTTGTCAACAGCGTCTGGACCACACCTTGTATGGTCACAGGAGAAGCTGACAGGGCTGGACAAAGATACATCTAGTCCAAAGATGAGAGGACAGGGCCAAAAATCAAAATATATCCCTTTACAATTTAATAAGGAGGACCTTCTAAAATGGCTATTCATCCAGTTTTGTCTTCACCAGTCCCTGCCACTCACTACTAGATGTTGGTCATTCTGTAGGCTGGCGGGTAGGGTTTTGTTGTCCAGAAACTGCCAATCTTTTATACCCTCAGAGATGGTGTGGAAGCATCCATTTAGTGTATGAATATGATTCTCGGCACTAAGTCACTACCAAGTGAAATATTAGAGAACAAACTCCCCACCCACTGCAGAAATTTCCTAGTTTCCAAGCATCTGGAAAGAAGATCCCAAATTACCTTTAGCAAAATTTCCTTTTGTTTTTTTTTTTTTTCCCCTCAATCCTCTTACTTGCTGAGGAACCTTCTAAAGAGGTTCTAAAGAACCACCCCAAAGATGATACCCACAGTTCAGGTTATTGGTCCTAAATTTTCCTAGTAAGGGAGGGAAAGAGAAGTGTTTAATAGGTCCCTAGGATCCTTCCACTTGTAGCAGGAAGGAACACCAAAAAAGCACCAGGACACTTAACTCCTTAGTAATTTAAAAAGCCTTGCTGAACAACAGAGAAAAGAGATTTCTCCCTCCCCACCTGCACCCTGACCCTGCTTCCGCCCTAGCCTTAGAATCAGCAGCCCTTCTGTAATTCCCTGAGGTGCCAGAGAGACTCCTTTATTCCATGGGGCGCCCAGATCTGACCCCACGAAATCCCAGTTAGTCATCCTTCTCACTCTTCTAACCTCCACACCCAACCCCTCCCCACCGCCCCAGGCCACCTCCTTACCTGATAATGTCGTCGTTGTGTCCCAGGAAGAATTTTTGGCTGTGCTCGCGGGTGTTGTAAACCACCCCGACCCCAGCCACAAAGTAGACCACCTCCTTGCCGGCGGTGTAGTACAGGTTGTTGCGGCACTGGTGACCCCGGTACCCGTACACCCACTCCAGCCGGAGCTGGCAGCTGGGAGCTGTCCGATCCGCCATGATAAGCCGACCCCACTAGCCCCCCGGGCCCCCCGCGCACCGGTCAGCGGCCCCTGCGCGCTGGGTCTGTCCTCGCCAAGTCTCTGGCTGCGGAGGACCTGCAAAGGGCTCAGCGTGCAGCGCCGGGCGCTGATTTCCGCGGCGACGCACTCACACAGACCAGCGCGCCGGCCGCCACCATCATCCACCGCCGCCGCCGGAGACGAGCCGCCGGTGCACGGCCGCCAGACCCCGCCGGGCGCCCCGGCTTCCTCTCCCCCGGGCTAGGCGTCTTCACCCGCGCGCGCGCACCCGCGCGCCTCACTGCACCTGCGGGCTTCGGCCCCCGGGAGAGGTTCTTGGGAGGGTCACCCCGCCTTTTAAATCAAGGATCTGCATATCCAAACACTGATTACCCAGTTCGCTCAGTGAAGTTTGCAGAGCGCGGGGCGGGGGCCTCACAGCAGGCAGCGGGATTTATTCTGTGACAGCTTTAATTTGACAAGGAACTCCGGTAAGCTTTGCCATCGCCATCCTCGGATCCGAAACTGACAGTCTACATCCAGGAGGCGAGAGCCAGGAAGAAAGAAACAGATATTTTGCATAAGTCACCCAGTCCAAGCAAATGATCCCCAAACTAAACCAAGTTTTTTAAAAAATTGTCAACTATTCCTCTTTTCTCTCTCCAGATCCATCTCCGCCCCCCCCCCCCCCATCCATCCTTTTAATGATACGAAATATGCCCTAAATGCTGCCGGGTGGTGGTTGCTGATACGATTTGAAAGAACATTTGCTGTTTCCCCATTCAGCCAGGGCAAACATGCAATGGTCATTTTTTGGACGCTCCAATTAGTTGTGTATATATTCAGAATTCATATCCTCCGTGAACCCTCTCTTGGCCGAAAAAACCAAAACGAACTTAACAGATCTCACTAATCAGGAACTCCAATGACAAGCTTCATAAAGATCTTTTTTCTGAATCGGAGGAAACTGAGACACTACGGTAGCTGGAGGCAGGAAAACACAACCTACAAACGCTCTCAGTCCAGAAGAAATTAAATAATTAACAAGTGACCAAAATCCTGTACCTCTCCCCAGAAACGTTTGCGCTAGCTATGGGGTCCCGTGGGTTCAAGGGTCTCGTCTCTAAGCCCGGCGTGGGGAGGAGCGCCCGCGGAACCACGGGGGACAGCGAGCCGCCACCACCGCCCCCCCCCCCCCCGCGCACACACGTCCCAGGCATTGGTCGATGCCCACCCGAGGGATGCCAGACCCCGGGGACAACCCGGCCTGCGCACAGTGCCGCGGCGGCGGCGTCCTGCACTCCTCCCACACCCGATCCAGGCTCGCCTGCGGAGCATCCCAGCTCTCCCGCTTCTAACCTCTGCTCTGAAACGGCGCCGCCTGCACGTCCCGGATCTCACAGGGCAAGCGAAATCCTCTGCTTGCCCGCCCCCCACCCCCTGCTCCCCCGCCCCTTTCTCCGCCTCCCGCACCGAGGACGGGCTTCGTCACTGGGACGCCACGGGAGACAGGTTCTTCCTCCAGTCTAGGCTCCGGGGGCGGGGCTACACAGCCGCTTTCGGGAACCTAGGCTGGCGGGTTACTAGGCGAAATCTCGGCGCTTGGAAACCGCGACGCCCCGGAGCGCTGGGTCCGCCCGCTCCCTCTACCGCCCACATTCCCCCCCTTCCCGATGCATTCTGGGAAATGTAGTCCGCTCCACGGGGCCTCAGGCAGAGAGCTCGCGGTGCCAAACCACGAATTCCAGGATTCCATGCGCCCAGAGTGGGCGGTATAGAGGCCGCTAACCACGTCCCAGGTGCTTGCGGTTCTGCAGAGCAGAGGCAGGCACACCAAGTGCAACCTCTGGCTCGCGTCTTGGGTTCCCTAGTGACTGAGCTACTGGACCGCGTGCGTGTATAGCTAAAAAGAAAAGCAGTGAAGTTGGAGTAAAGACCAAACCATCTCTATACCGAGAGAAATATCAATAACCTCAGATATGCAGACGACACCACCCTTATGGCAGAAAGTTAAGATGAACTAAAAAGCCTCTTGATGAAAGTGAAAGAGGAGAGTAAAAAAGTTGGCTTAAAGCTCAACATTCAGAAAACTAATATCATGGCATCCAGTCCCATCACTTCATGGCAAATAGATGTGGAAACAGTGGCTGGCTTTATTTTTCTGGGCTCCAAAGTCACGGCAGATGGTGATTGCAGCAATGAAATTAAAAGACGCTTACTCCTTGGAAGGAATGTTATGACCAACCTAGACAGCATATTAAAAAGCAGAGACATTACTTTGTCAACAAAGGTCCATCTAGTCAAGGCTATGGTTTTTCCGGTGGTCACATAATGGATGTGAGAGTTGGATTATAAAGAAAGCTGAGCGCCCAAGAATAGATGCTTTTGAACTGTGGTGTTGGAGACGACTCTTGAGAGTCCCTTGGACCACAAGGAGATCCAACCAGTCCATCCTAAAGGAGATCAGTCCTGGGTGCTCACTGGAAGGACTGATGTTGAAGCTGAAACTCCAATACTTTGGCCACCTCATGGGAAGTGTTGACTCATTGGAAAAGGCCCTGATGCTGGGAAAGATTGAGGGCAGGAAGAGAAGGGGACAACAGAAGATGAGATGGTTGGATGGCATCACCGACCCAATGGACATAGGTTTGGGTGGACTCCAGGAGTTGGTGATGGACAGGGAGGCCTGGCATGCTGCAGTTCATGGGGTTGCAGAGAATCGGACACGACTGAGCGACTGAACTGAACTGATCTCTATACCACCTGAAGAATTTCTTCTGCACCTGTTCCTGAGGGCTACTGTAGCTGACTCAAGCCCAAGTGTGTTTCCCATTTCAGTTTTACTTTTTATTCAGATGGAGTCTAATCTGTTAAAGTGCAGTGCTGCACATTTAAGAAAAAAGTTGGGCTGTCTATTCAGTGGATTAAAAACCTAAATGTAAGACCAGAAACTATAAAACTCTTGAAGGAAAAGATAGGCAGAACACTCAATCACATAAAACAAGATCCTCTATGACCCGCCTCCTAGAGTAATAGAAATAAAATAAAAAATAAACAAGTAGGACCTAGTTAAATTCAACAGCTTTTGCAAAGCAAAGCAAACTATAAACAAGGTGAAAGACAGCCCTCAGAATGGGAGAAAATAATAGCAAATTAAACAACTGACAAAGGATGAGTTTCCAAAATATACAAGCAGCTCATACAACTCAATACCAGAAAAACAAACAACCCAATCAAAAAGTGGGGGAAAGACCTAAACAGACATTTCCCCAAAGAAGACATGCAGATGGCTAATAAACACATGAAAAGATGCTCAACATCCCTCATTATTACAGAAATGCAAAACAAAACTACAATGAGATACCACTTCACACCAATCAGAATGGCCAGCATCAAAAAGTCTACAAACATTGCTGGAGAGGGTGTGGAGTAAAAGGGAACCCTCTTGCACTGTTGGTGGGAATGTAAATTAACACAGCTATTATGGAAGATGGTACAGAGATTCCTTAAAAAATTAGGAGTAAAACCACCATATGACCTAACAACCCCACTACTAGGCATATATCCTGAAGAGACCAAAACTGAAAGAGACATTTGTACCCCAATGTTCATTGCAGCACTATTTACAATGGTTAGAATGTGGAAGCAACCTAGATGCCCATTGACAGATGAATGGTTAAAGAAGATGTGGTACATGTATACAATGGAATAGTACTCAGTCATAAAAAGGAATGCATTTAAGTCAGTTCTAATGATGTGGATGAACCTCGAGCCTATCAAACAGAGTGAAGTCAGAAAGAAAAAGATAAATATCACATATTAATGCATATATATGGAATCTAGGAATATGGTACCGATAAATTTACTTGCAGGGCAGCAATGGAGAAACAGACCTAGAGAACAGACATATGGACGCGGAGTAGGGGAGGAAGGAGAGTTTGAGATGTATGGAGAGAGTAACATGGACACTTGCATTACCGTATGTAAAATACATGACCCATGGGAATTTGCTGTTGGACTCAGGGAACTCCAACAAGGGCTCTGTAACAACCTAGAGGTGTGGGATGGGGAGGGAGATGGGAGGGAGGTAGATTGAAAGTGCCAGAGCTTGGATGAGCAGCTGCTGCCTACAGCAATGAAGAGAATGTGTATTGGTCTCATCAGTCTTTTTAAGGAAACAGGGATCCACAGATCCATGAGGTCACAAGACAATAAGGGCACTACCAAAAACAAAAACAAAAAATGTGGTCTGAAAAGAGTTGACACATAAGCTGAAATATAATGGGCTTCCCAGGTGGCTCAGTGGTAAAACATCCGCCTACCAATGCAGAAGATGCAGATTTCATCCCTGGGTTGGGAAGATCCACTGGAAAAGGAAATGATAACCCACACCAGTATTCTTGTCTGGGAAATGCCATGGACAGAGGAGCCTGGCAGGCTACAGTCCATGGGGTTGAAAGAGTCAGACACAATTTAATGACTCAACAATGACAACAATGCTGTGCTGCAAAACAGTGCCACTGAATTAGAGACAGTAAATTCTATATAAAAATTCATAAGATGAAGAGATTGTCCAGCTTTAAGTCAGGAAAACTTCATGGAGAAAATAGGAAACAAAGGTATAATTGAGATAAGTAAATGTAAATTGAAAGCACACTGCATGTGTTTATGGAATACAAGGGTGGATATAGAAAAACAAAGATTTGGAGAGTAGAATTGGTGAAAGAGAGAATTCATGAATGATGAGAACGGGACATAAGCTTGAAAGGTTAGAATATGGATGGAGCTGAGCCTAGAGGTTTGTTCCATATTCTTAAAAGAATGGAAAGCCATTGGATTTTTTTTTAATGGAAATACCTATTAAAACAGTAATAGTCAAAGCATCAGGTAATAGAGGCTTAAGGTAGTGCTTGGGGTTCTACATAGAGGAAGTAGCAAATAGTCTAGAAAGGAAGGGACATCTTCCAGAAAAAAATGCAAAAGGATTTTGAAAAAAAATCTCAACAAATAGAAATGGATATAATATAACGTGTTCATCTCCTCAGTTACTTTAAATGTAACTAAAGACCATCATCTCTCTCTCTCTCTCTCTTTAGTCACTAAGTCGTGTTCGACTTAGCTCAACTTAGTGCAGGTCTCCTGCATTGCAGGCAGATTCTTTACCAACTGAGCTATGAGGGAAGTCCAGGCTATACCAAATCATACTTTTAGTTCAGTGATTATACCTAGACCTCCCAACGCAAGGCAGAGGTCTGTTTATTAATTGATGAGAAAATATAGCAGAGTAAGGCATAGAATTTTCCTCTTCAAATTTCTCAGACAATGAAAGGGGAAAATATTCTCAAGAAATAGTATTAAGAACAGAAGGTAAATTAAAGAACTCATGAAAATTCTCACTAAAATACTTCAACATATAAAAGTGCAATTAGAAAGTAAATGTATAATTTCCAGGTTGTGGGGAGGATACGTTTAGAAGAAGATCCTATGTATTACCTTGGGTCTTCAGCAGAAATAAAATGTTTTACCAGGTTTT